CTTTCAAATCTTGTTTTAGGTTTGATGTTAAACTAATTCGTTTGATTAGTCTGATCAAGCTAATTCTGGAGTGAGTCGTCTTAGAATCTAGGAGTGACCATCATAGATTCTATGTGTGATCTAAGAGTGATTCATCCTTCTAACCCTACTCTTGGTTAGAATCATTCGGTAAGTTAGTCACTTTTGTGAATGTTTGCAAGGATCCTAAAAAGACCTCTAGCTTTGTAAACCCGAGCAACCTTGGCGCTTATCATAAGTTATTTGGTTCTAAATCTAATAGACTTAAATTACGGAATAAAGGCGTTAAAAGATTAGAAAAAATCTTAATCATCGGCTTAAAATTCATGAATCTAATAATAAACACATATGTAATATGAATGCTTGGGTTGATTTAAAAATTAAATTGTTAAAAAATAATACAATTGACAAAGATATTTAGATATTAATTAATTAAGAAAAAAATCGTTGGAATAAAGTATTAACACGAATTATTGTTGTTTAAAAATCTTGCTAAAAGTCATTTAGCATTTCGAGGAAAGTAATGAAAACTTTGGGAAATTTGAATTTGTGACCCTTCAATAACCTGGATAAATGACTCCATTTTCAAAAAACCTAATTTGTGACCTCATATTCTATTAATTATGACCCCTCTCAAAATATGACATAATGAAATTACCATTATACCCCTGTTTTAAAAAAATTCATCCCCTCCCTCCCCATCCTTCGTCTCGGACGTTTCGTGGCACTCCCATCCCAAGTAAAACCCGAAACCCCCATCTCGGAGAATCACCGTCTCGGAGAATCCATTCTTTCCGAAGAGAATTCTTTCGCACTTATCCATTTTTTCTGAAGATCATTCTTTCGCACTCATCTGTAAGCGTCGGATTCATCTCGGAGGTTGCAAGGTTAGTTGCTATCTTTTACAATGTAACGAAAGTTGCTATTCTTTGTTGTATTAGCATGACCGGTGCTATCTGAAGTGGCCTTATAGATTTAGGTTTAGTTTGACGTTGTGATTGTAGGAGAATAAAAAATCCAGAGATTCCTTCAATCTCGGATTCTATCTCGTATTCAATCTCGGACCACTGAGGTCCGGGATTGAATATTGATTGCATCCAAGATTGAAGCCTTCGAGGGTCCGGGACTGCCTTTCATCTCGGACTTGTCCCGGTCCGGTTCGGTCTGGGATGAAGGTCGATCCCGGACACATCCCGGTCCTGTTCGGATCCGAGATGAGATGCAGATTGAATCCAAGATTGAATCTACCTCTCATCTCTTACCCGAACAAGATCGGGACGTGTCCGGGATCGACCTTCATCCCGGACCGAACCGGACCAGGACAAGTCCGAGATGAAAGGCAGAATGCTGTTTTGTTTAGTTTTTTTTTTAAGTTCCTTGTCACTTAGCATTAGTTTGTATCTAATATGTTTTATTTCAACTTTGTTTAGAACGTAGAATGGATTTGAGATTCATCCTAGATCGTAATGACTGGTTTCCGGCCACGTTTACGAACCTTGCCCATGTTGTTAAAACCACTACTAGGATTAAGGCCAGGCTAACTCCAACCCAGTTAGACATGTTTAGGCAAACATGTTTCGGTCCTATTTTGGACATGGACGTTGTTTTCAACGGTCCATTTAACCATCACCTGTTGTTGAGAGAGGTTGAAGAGCCTAGACAGGACGTCATTAGCTTTGACTTGTTTGGAAAAAGGGTGTCTTTTGGTAAGCGAGAGTTCGACCTAATCACCGGGCTCAGTCATAGGATGAATAGGGTAGATAATCATATTCCTGGACGAAGACTTAGAGCAAGTTGCTTTAAAGACAGTGTTAGGGTTAAGTGTACTGAGCTGGAGAAGATTTTTTTGGAGGACGTTTTTTACGACGACGAGGATGTTGTGAAGGTTGGCATAGTTTACTTCATAGAACTTGCCATGATGGGGAAGGAGAGGAAGCAGTTCATAGATACGGCCCTGTTAGGTGTTGTGGATTGGTGGGAGGAGTTCTACAACTATGACTGGAGTTCGATGATTTTTGATAGGACGATTTAGAGTCTCAAGAACGCCCTGAAGGATAAACTGCCGGCGTACCAACAGAAGGCAAGAGCGGACCCCACACACGTTGAGACTTATAGTCTGTATGGGTTTCCGTACGCATTTCAGGTTAGCGAGGTTTAAGTCAACTGTATAATTTAATACATTATTTAACTGCATCATTTATTTGGCTTCCCTGGATTCTAGGTATGGGCGTATGAGACGATCTCGACGTTGAGCCTGCGAGTAGCAACGAGGTTGAGCGATGACGCCATTCCTCGACTTCTCAGGTGGTCATCCACTTATTCGCGCGGGTTTCGTGTGCTGGCGAGTGAGGTTTTCGATAACACGCGGGTAAGTAATTCTCTTGTGGCCGTATGGTTCATATTTGGTTTTTCATTTCGATCTAATCATAGGTTTTTTGCAGTCCAAGGTTAAGGAACACTTGTTGGCGATGGATGCTGAGGAACAACACATGGTTCGTGTCATTCTTCCACCAGAAGCCCGTGTTATACCTGATCCGCCTACTGTACCTGATCGGGCTGTTGTACCTGATCCGCCTGCTTCACCTGATCGGGCTGCTGTACTTGATCCGCTCGCTGATGTGAAAATGGGTCCTCTAGAGGATCCGGTAGTAGAGGCACATGTGATAGACGAGGCTGGACCCAGTGCAAATGACGGTGAAGGGTTAGAGAAGAGGTCGAAGAAGAATAAATTCAAGGAGAGGATCAGCAGACAGTTGAAAAGGCTCGATAACCGTGTCAGTGCTATCGATGACACACTGGGTGACTTTGGAGTCGCCCTGAAAGGTATTCAGAGATACCTAAAGAAACTGGCGAAGGTACTAATTTAATATGTATACAAATTTGTTTTTAATTATTACAATAATGCTCATGGGCCAGTGTTTGGGTGCAGGAAAAATTCCCTGATCCGAGCAAGTATTTCGGAGGTGGGGTGGGCCCGATGATGATGGTCCATCGAATCAAAGGCCTGATGAGTCCCCGAAGCCAGATAGAGGTCGGAAGAGTATGGACGAGGACCAGAGGCCTGATGAGGACCAGAGGACGGATGAAGACCTGAAGACTGAAAAGGAACCGACGACGGGACATGGTCTGAATAGTATGGACGAGGATTCGAAGAGAAGGGACGATGATCCAATGATAATGGAGGAGGACGATGGTATGATAACGAATGGGGACGAGGATCCAAATCAAGTAACTCGTACTTATTTTCCTCGTCGGATTATTTATGACCTTGTCTTGCATCATGTTATTTAATATCAGGACATTACGATCGGGAGACCGCGTGATGGCTCGGAAGTGGATCATGCAGATGACCATGGACCTCGGGTGGCCGTAATTCAGGTAAACCACCTTCTGTAATGCTAGTATACATTCCTGCTACCCATATTGTAATGTGATTAATATTTTTTGTGTATTAGGATCTCACCATTGGCAGGCAAGAGCCGAATGCTCAGCCAGATACACAGCCCACGAGACGACGAGTTAGGCGTCCCTATAAGGACTGGGCACCCGACGCGATCGTTAAGGTAAACTTAATGTCATGCATTTCGTCAGTTGTCATTACTCGACCCTACTTGTTTATTGTGGTTTAGGTTGAACCGTACCTTGACCAAGACGAAACTGACCTTCAGCATGCCCCAACTGGCCGGGGGCTACGCAAGCGCCATTATTCGTGGAAACTGAAGGGTATATACACACCAACCGGCTGGCGTAGGATCACTGTGGACGCATATGACCCAGCATGTCCCATTCCTCCGCAGCTGGACGGTCAGTTCCAGACATGGATGGATGACCCGGACACCAATGGACGAACTCGGTCTAGTGCAGCTGGCTTACAAGGGAATGAATGGTATCGCGATCTACTAGACCCTACTATCCAATTGAAGGACGAGGTAAGTACCTCTTATTCCACTATCTAGTACTACATTTGTCAATAATATGATTATATCAACTTGCATTTCTTAAATGCAATAGGTAGTTGATACTCTCGTCCTATTTACGGCCAAAAAGTTGGAGAAGTGTCTACATCTTTGTCGCAAAAAGTTTGCGATAGGCGACGTGCTACTTTCGGTACATACTTTTTACCGCTCTTTGTTTGAACAAAAAATACTATAATTATCTGTGTAACTAGTATCATTTTGTACTTCTTGTACAGACTCTGCTGAACTGAAAAGACGGTCCCGTATGCGGCCATGAAACTAGGGGTCCTGTCCACGAGAATCTAATACCCCTGGAGCCAAGAGAATACCATATTTCGATATGTCTTCGGTAGGCAGTCGGACCAGGATGTGGCTTGGATTGATGCAGACATTGTGTACACCCCGATCAACATAGGTGGGAACCACTGGGTGATGCTCGGAATTGATCTTGTGGAAGGTGACTTAACCGTATGGGATTCACTCCAATCGGCCACTCCACTAGATTCACTCGAGAATGAGCTGAAGCCCATTTGTACGATCCTACCTGCGGTACTGCATCATGGCGGGATATTTGCAGCACGACCGGACCTGCCAGTGGTGCCATAGAGGGTGCGTCGGGTTCGCACACCCCAACAGAGTAACGCCACAGATTGCAGGATTTTCTGTGTACGCTTCTTCGAGTACGATGTTACCGGGTCAAAGCTGGACACTTTGACCCAAGATAATATTGTATTTTTTAGGCGTCAATACGCTATACAGATGTGGGCGCGCCATCCCATTTTTTGAATATTTATGGAATTCCAATATTGTCTTTTCTATTTCGTATTTCATTCTCAAAGCATGATACATGAAACACACAATAATAATACAATCCAATCCCCACAATAATAATAATAGCAGTAGAACACATAGAGTTGCAAATGCATGCATGCATGGTTGGTTTCTTGAGATACAAGTTACCTTACCAATATCTTTAAAATCCACTTCATACATGTTTAAAAGTAAATGAACAATAGAAGCATACATTCACAATGTGGTAAGGGGTTCACTACATGTTTTGCGATTATGTCCCCACGCACCACAGCGACCACACTTACGTGTTTGTCGTACCTCGCCCGTGGAAGGAATCCTAACCGTCTTCCTCCTCCCAACTCTTGGAACAGTCTTCGGTGGTTCCACCGGTATGTTGACAAACTCTGGCGAACTGTTCCATGTCGAGATGTGTCCGACTGGAAATATGGGTTCTGCATAAGCCAATATCCAGGAGTTCGTCGTATATGCCTCGTCGCACAGACTGTATGGATTTATATTTCGCATCGTCGCCGCCGCAATAGCATGAGAGCATGGAATCTTAAAGTAATCAAACTCCCGACAACTACACATCATAGCATTCAAATCAACAATCCCGTCAAGGTTGCCATCCCGTACCTGGAAATGGAACTGGTCAATGTTGTCTACAACGTGTCTCCGCGCACTATCTGAATATTCGGCATACATGTTTTCTGCGTAGTCGGACAATGTGGTTGATCGGGAAGCTGCAAGCGTCCGTCGATCATAGAACCAAGTCTGTAACTTACCTCTAATGTGGTCAAGTAAGGCGGTAACCGGTAACTTACGGGTGTGCCTGAAGAGGGCATTTATAGACGCTGCGATATTTGTAGTCATCTGTGTGTAGCTCAATTGAGTTTGGAAACAACGAGCCCAACGCTCCTTCCCAATATCGTTTAGATATTCCCGTACAGGGGTATGCACGAAGTTGGGCCCAGATCGAGTTGAAATATGACTCGCGATACGCCTTTGCAGCCTTTAAAAATAGTTCCTCGACTGCCTTCGCATCGTCTTTAAATTTTGCTATCAAGTTAACCTTGATATGCTGTGTACAAAAGCAATGAAATGCAATAGAAAATACCTTGTCGATTGCCTTGCAAATGGTTTGATGTCTATCAGAAACGAAAACCAAATTATCCACTCCGGCGAGCGCACGTTTTATTTGAATCATAAACCACACCCATGATGCTACCGTCTCACCGTCGATAATCGCAAATGCTACCGAGTAAATCTGGTTATTTGCATCAACACCAGAAGCTGATAACAATACCCCTCTGAACTTCCCCTTTAGGTGGGCCCCGTCAACAACCAACACTGGTCTAGTACAACCCAGAAAACCTCGAATCGATTGACCCAATGTCATAAATACATATTTGAAATATTTGCCACCTTCTAGTTTTAATTCGAAAATAGTACCTGGATTCATGATTTTCAAAGCTTCACCATAAGCTGGAAGTAGACCATATGACGATGCTGGATCACCTCTAATAAGCCGGAGTGCTTCTTCACTAGAACGCCATGCTCTATCATAACTTAAATTGACACCATACTCCCTCATGTCTTGTATAATGTCCTTCGGTCTATACGTGCGGGAGACGTCTGTGAACTTCTCCTGCACAAGATGTCCTACCACCCAACTTTTGGGTTGCCTATGATCATGTTTTAAAGCCCCACCATAGCACGTATGGGCAGCACAATATTTATTTATCTTGAACAAAGTGCATTCCTTTAGCTTGGTAGCTCGAAGTCTCCACGTGCAATCAGCATGAACGCACCGCAGTATATATAGCTCCAGCGTCGACTTTTTTACTTTAAACTGAAAATTCTTCCGCATTGCAACTAAATGCATTTTCAAACTCAACTCCTTCTTATTATCAAATACGTCGCCCTCATTAACATCATTTTTCCCAGAAGACTGTACTATGAGTTGCAATTTCTCATCATTAGGGTGTCCGGTGAGACCATTACATCCTAGTGGCCGGACCGCTTCTTCATCCCTGCGAATCTTAGTGTGCACCTATTCCACATCAGGCTCAAGCTCATCATCAAGCGCATCGTCATGCTCTTCGTTCCCATATTCTGCTTCAGAGTGTCCTTCTTCAGACTCTTCCAACGGGTCATATGATTCACCACTTTCATCTTCGTTATCATTCCATACTCCCAGCACATCCCAATCACACACCCTGTCATCTCCCAGATTACATGGAACAACATCTGACCCCAATGGTGTTAAACCCTCTACATCATGACCTATATGTTCGTAGGAAGGGTGTGGTTGTCGGGAAGAAAATGGGTTCGATGATGAGGAAGGAAATGAGGGTATAAGATATGTGGGTCTCTGGAATGGGGGAATACAAGCTGCGGACATAGGAATCGAGGACACGTTTTGGCCTACATAATATGAGAAAGAAGGCATGTACGTTTCATTCTCATGTACCTGCTTTGGCACATTAGATATATATATAGGCAATTCATATACATCCTCACCAATAAAAAAAACCGAGTCATCGTCATCAGTTATTTCCATCACACAAACTTTGGTTTTAGAATGATACACGCGTCTAATTATTATATCAAACTATAGGGGGTTAATGTTACTCAATCTATACACGTGACCTAGAAATTCTCTGTACGTGATTGTACTATCCACTGTCAATCCCCTCGTACGACCGCCGACATAATCTTTTTCACTATCATTCCATTCTCCACCGAATGTTATGAAAACACGAGGCATCCTGCAAATAGATAAAACTAAGTGAGATAGGAAAATCGATCATTCAAAAATAAAATATTAAAAATTAAGAAAATAAAAAAAAATAAATGTCTCGGATGAATCTTAGACCAGTCTTGGTCCGAGACATGTCTCGGACAAATCTCGAAGCAATACTGGTCCAAGACATGTCCCAGACTAAATATGCTTCGAGATTAGTCCAGGACATGTCTCGAACCAAGACAGGTCCGAGATATATCCGAGACAGTCCCGATACGTGATGCACCGGGATTGTTTACATTCAATCCCGGACCAGGTATAGATCCGGGATTGAAGTAATTACAACAATCTGATTTTTTTTCTTGTCAACAATCAAATCTAGTAGTTGAACCCATTAATGGGAAAATATTTCAATAAAGTTCAACAATTATAGAGTACAAAAGTTTGTGTAAAGGTAACATACCTAGCTTTCACAAGTGAAATTGTGGGGACAATGATTTTGGATAGTGTGGGGACAAAGATCAAACATGTTGATGCTTTGAGCGGATTTTAAAAACCTGATCGTGAGTTTTAGATAATGTAAAATATTAACAAGTTCAAACATATGTAAAATATGGGTTTACAGTTTGGTGAAATGATTAGGTGGAAATCATAAATGCACATTTATTAACAATGAGGGTAAATTGGTCTTTTCCCATGAATAAAATATTTAAGGGATCATAAATAAGGGGTGGAGGGGTCACAAATTAGGTTTTTTGAAAATGGGGTCATTTATCCAGTTTCAGTTATTGAASGGGTCACAAATTCAAATTTCCCGAAAACTTTTAACAAAAAAATAATGGAAATTTTTTAAGTTTAAATTGAAATGATTGAAATTTGATCTAATAATAATGCAAGAGCATGTTAATCGTATTCAAAATAAGGAAATTCAATCATTATTTTGGACATAATATACAAAATGAACTCACGTAACTATTAGGACTTGAAATAAAAGATATAATTATTGAAAAAAAGTTAAAGAAGCAAAATATTTTTCAGTTATATTAGATTTCACCCTAAAGATATTTTCTATATTAAGACCTCCCTATCAAAGTTTTGCCTAAGGTCTCATATGATCTTAAGTCGCCCTGCGTATGGTTAGCGGAAATAAGAGTCTAAAAATAAGGGATGAAATGGAAAACGTAGTTATATTCCTTGTTTTATTCAGTCGTTCTCAATGTATGTTTGGTCACCAATCAAAATTTAGATCTTGATTTAAAAACTATGCCCAGTTGTTTCACACATAAAAAAAAAGCCGAGAAATGTTTCAAAAACAATGAAATAACGAACATATCTCAAATTTCATTAATAGACATATTAATATATTTATCAACCAAACTTAGCGTTAAGGCATTAAAATAATTTCAATAAGTCAAAGGTTGGAACCCCTATCCCTATAATTGTTATAATATAAGATATATTATAGGTCCAATTTGATAATATTTTCATTTTTGATTTTCTGTTTTAAAAATTATGCTTATTTACTCCTTTCTTTTTGTTTGGGGATGAAAATACCCTAGACACGTGGAGGACCCCTATTGGTGCTCCAAAATGGCCCATGAGTCATGCCCAGCTCGGATAGCCGAGATGGCTGCCACCAACGCCGGCGAAAGC